TGAGAAAACAGACTTCTACTTAGATGGGAAATTTTCCAATTATTGTGACTGGAATTCACAATTATAGATTTACACATTTATTTTATTCTCCATACAGTTAATGCTAAGAAATGAAATTAAAGAAATAATAATTGCTGTTAAACAATAAAATCTAGAACAAATTAAAACATATCTTTTTAAGCAACCTAGTTTCAGTACAAGAGTCAGTGACACATATAGGAAGTTCTGACAAAGGGGAAATCACTCAGGAAAAAAATCCACACAAGAGTTACAGGTCTTTGAATGGAAGCAACAATTAAGACTTTCAAAGACATACATGCTGAGCTTCAAAAACAGAACTGGAACATGAAACTTTGACCAGAATTGTTAAGCTCACAAATGGAATTATGTATGCTTGAGTTATAGGTCTTGAATAGTGAACTACATGTACAATAATGCCCCCTTACAACAAATTACTGCCAAATGTGGGTGATTAAGTTCAGTATCAGTTAAAGGTTCACATAGTACTTCAATCAATTGTGAAATGAATTAAATCTTTTATTAGCTTCATTCATTTCTTAGGTACACTCTTTGTAGTAAAATATTTCAAGTGTTTTAACATTATTCTATGTCAGAGACGAGTCAAACAGATACAAAACTTCAGTCATCATTTTAATTAAAAACTGTACATTTTCACAGAGAGGAATTTAAATAATTTTGTTTACATTGAATGTTCCAAGAATGTAGTATATAATGGAGTAAATGGAAGACAGATCGTGACAAGAGTTTGGCAATGGTACTGTATATCATTAGATAAAATCATTAGTAGTTTTATTCTCCACTCTCTTCCCAGTCTGATAACTCTCACAACATTTCTTTGTTACTTATTCTCACCAGAAAAGGTTGAACCACATACTTTACTATAGCATCAATCCAATATATTTCTATATTAAACTTTTTATAGGGAAATTTTAACAGGATTCCAGTCTATTTCCAAATTTAACTTTTTTTGAAAACTGTCTATTTTGCTTAATTTAAAGGGTTTTAAAAAGGTAAATAAAATATTGGGCTTAGAAAAGAATAGACTTGTCACTGTATGAAACAAGAGTGAATTTATAATATACTGGTGTTAATTTACCAAACAAAATATAGTTATCCATCCTATTAACATAATAATTATGTTAAACAGCTTTTTTTCCATTCTTTTTTTTAAACTTTCAGATATCACTCAAATTTAAGACTTTTGTAAAGATATTTCTATTTCCTGGTTGAATGTTGGTTTGTTAATTTGTTTTTCTGCTTACATGCTATAACATATTGTTCTGTTTGTTGAATTGTTTAACATCTGTCCTACATATTAATTTAGTAACAAGTCGATCCGGACAATCTTCAAAATTAATGCTTACTTTACACCAGATTAATATGACAATAGAATTATTGTAATAAATCTTTTTATAGAACATCAAAGGTTGTGGTAAACACTAAATTTGGATCAGTCAGTAATTGAGTTTAACAACAATTGAGCCGCGTCACGACAAAACCAACATAATGGGTTTGCGACCAGCATGGATCCAGACCAGCCTGCGCATCCGCGCAGTCTGATCAGGATCCATGCTGTTCGCTTACAAACCCTATAGCAAGTAGAGAAACTGATAGCGAACACCATGGATCCTGATCAGACTGCGCAGATGCGTAGGCTGGTCTGGATTCATGCTGGTCGCAAACCCATTATGTTGGTTTTGTCATGACGCGGCTCAATTTAAACCATAAAGACATTTTACAGCTTGTAAGCTGAACAACCATTTCAGGTCATAGAATGACCACAAAGTAGCCTCATTAGGTCAATGTATAGATACTATTCTTATTATTAACACAAGGATTATACTACAGCTCTTATTGGTAATAAAAGCTTTTAATAATTTAGACAGCCATTAGAATTTCTCAAGGCCAAGTGATAGTTGAATTAAATAAATCAATAGTTAGGCAGTCAGTGTAGCAGACTTTAACTACCTGTATTTCCCTTCAGTTATATTCTTGAAATTCAGAATAGATAGCCGTACACAAACAACTTTTATCTTATAGAATTATGCAATTAAACTGTTTTACATGTTGTTATGTATGGACAAGACTTTTTTTTAATACAGTTAAGTAAAAGTTACTGTGTCCATTAAAGTATGGTCAATCTCAACTTACCATCACTACTAAATTGCTTTCATTTTAACAAATCTGATTGTTTCTGACATAAAGATAAGTCGTATCTCACCTAACCGGCTTTCCTGGATAATTAACCAGTAATAACCAATTTCAACACAAGTGACCGACAACCATTCCCACACGATTTCTGAATCAACGATGAGAGACAAACGACTATAAGACTCAATTATATAACTCTTTTGTCATCAAGAAATTTTGCCTTCCTTGAGGATCCAACCAGTAACCCTTTATTTTACAAATCCCAATACTGAGATAAGGGGGGGGGACTAGACATTATCATAAAATATGGTTACAAAAAATTTCCTTTTTTGTAACTTTTTTTTCCAGCAGATCACACAGTATGAAGCTTACCTATAATACAATCATTATATAACATTCTACTAATCACCAAAATATGTCTATGTTGTGTTTTTGGGGGATGCATTTTTTGTTTTTAAGTCCTGTAGAATGACAACACTTGATGACAATAAAATTCCTCAGTTTCATTTTTTGTATGTCATCCTGCTGACAGTTGCGTTAACTTTGTAATTAAGTAACACAGTTGCACTTACTTCCTTTTAGTTATTCATTCTCTTGTTTTCTTCTTTTGTGACTCATACTTCCATAATATTTTTTATGAATTATTATTAAGATCAGAATGAGGGTATGTTAATTATTATTATTGCAATTCTGACCTTAACGCGTTTTTCACATTCCTTGAAATACGTTTATTTTACATTAAAAAAACCTTTGATTGTATGTATTCAGTCAATAAGAAAAAAAACAACCCACAACTTACATAATAACACCAGTGTCCTAACATGTCTATAAAGGTCATTTAGTTAAGAAAGTGTTATATAAAGCAATTGAAATACACACAATGTAAAAACAAAAGTAATATAGAAAATATAGCAAACACCAGTTTAATCAGGATTTTCTAAGTGCAAAGCTTAGGAAAAGGTCATTTTGTCTGGCCGTATATAAAAATTTCAGAAGTAAAACACGACTTAGACGGAGTCTTAAAACCTAATTAGGTATTACATTATTACGTTGGGTTTCTATCACGTAAAAGAAAGAGATTTCCATTCCATTAGAGGAATTTGTGAATATATACTTGTTAACCTACTTCAGGCAATATAATCAGTGTTTTTTTGTTTTGTTTATTTGTTTCTATTTCTGTTCTTCAAACTTATGTTGTTTGAATGCTGACTCAAAATTCAAGCATTTATTTTAACCAAGTAATTTCAAGTAGTGATTATAAATATGAAATTAAATGGTATTAAAAATCTAAGAAAGAATTTGTTTAGTAATATTCATACAAATTTCATTTTCTTTTATTTTCGCTTGATTGAGAAGCAATTTTAACACTTATCCAGTCTAAAACACTTCAGGCAGATTCTTTGATTCAGTGTACCCACTTTCACCTCTTTCTGCAAAATTACTGCCATCAGTTTAAAATTATTTTAATATGTTCATCGTAGAATACATTATGAACAACCAAGATGAATTGTTGTCATCACAGAAACCAAACAGAATCCTGCACCTACAACTTATAAACTCACAAATCCAAGGTCTACAGATTTACATGTAAACTAGAGTTGTAATCCAAAATGGTATAATAGTTATCGTGCAGTTATCTTTTTCTAGTTACTAAAAACCTTGACCTTGGCTCTAGGGGGCCAAAAAGCAATCGCAAGCAAGGTCTCCACATAAGCTTGCTATGTACTAAGTTTTCTTACAGTATCTCATTCCTGACTCTTAGTTAATGTATGGAAACCATTGTTAGAAACAGTGACCTTGACCCAAGGGGGTCCAAAATTAATCCAAAGCAAGGTCTCCACAAAACCATTCTTTAAATTCGTAGTGGATGACAATATCTCGTGCCTACCTTTAATTATAGCCTGAAACCTGTAGCACCTCCTCACCAACAGACCTATGAGGTCACTGCTATATACCACCAAAACTTACGTCACATTATCAAACAGGGCATAACAAAATTGGAAACAATCACTTGAGAGATCAACACAATACTGTTTGACTGTAACCACCCTAAAGTATGTTTCAACAAAGAATTCTTCTTTAAATCTCAAACTTTGACTCCCAACATATTTTCACCAAACACAGACCAAATCTTTTTCTTCTAAGCTTTCCTGACATTTCCTATAAACAGCAAGCTGACACACTTCCTCCTTTTCTAAAGTGCAAGCCATAACAAGATATAAAACATTAAAAGCTCTCTTTTTCCCCCTAACAATCAATTATAAATTCTAAGAAACTAAATATTCAGATTTCCAGAAAATATTTACTACTTAAAAAACAAAATGGCAGAGACAATAACACTATTTTCAAATATTGCAAAATACCAGACTTTGCACAAAAAAAAAAATCCCATTTCTTACAAAATAATTTCGCCCCATTATTATCACAACATCATTCAGTATACAATTATTCATGAATGCTACTGCTTTAGTCATCTAAATAATGGGATTATTATTGCTATAAATAGATAGTGATGATTATATATACATTTATATATATACATATAAATATATAGTATACATTTCCTAAGGTTGTCACAAGCAAGGCCAAATTTTACGAGACAAACAAAAAATTTGCATTTTCCAACACATGACAAACACTTGTGTATAGATTTAAGCTTTCATTATCATTATGAAGCAAGAACACAACTTTTCCATTCTATTGCAACTCTTTTTTTTGTTTTCTTTTTTAAACATTCTACATTATATAATTTTTGTGCTTTAACAAACTTGCATAAATTGGACAAATAAACATAAAATACTTTACACAGTCTAACATATAAAACTTACAAGGACCACAAAAACCTGGAAAAAGGAATATGCTAATTATAATTTATATATAAACACTGAACTAATCAAATCTAACATGACCAGGGTTTTCATTCTTAGTTTAGGCAACTGATGTGCCAATGAAAACAACCAATTTGGACGAGGGTCGAGTGAGTATTATTATCTATCGGCTGAAAATACAACCGATTTTACATGATATGGATCGCCAATCTGTTAACAATGAAAACCCTGCATGACGCAGCTACTGCTGCTGAAAAAGTATCACATCTTTTTTGCTGATACATAATAAATTTTACTGAAATGTCAAACAATTTAAGCTCCGTCATCCACAATGTAATATTCAGTGGAAAATATATAATATAATTTCTAAAAATATCTCCTGATACTATGTAGATAATGCTTTCTTCCAATCAACACACAGCAAAATCTGAAAACATGTAAGACTATATTTCAAAAAGAAAACTGACAAAAAACCTAAATAGGCTAATAATATTAACTCAGTAACAAATTCTAAGATAATATATTATGGGTCTGGTATAAATTTATATTAACACACATACCGTGGAGATAGTGCCAATGGTTCTAAATGGGGTTTTGGATGGCTTCCTGGTGGGGCAGAATTTTTACGTAATTGCAACAATGCAGCCTGGTTGTCCATCTCCTGACGGTGCTTTCGTAAACGTCTCTCAGCCAACAAATAGTAAGTTGCTGTAATGTGGTTATACATGTCCTTTTCAATAGATCTGAAAAGAAAAATAAACATATTTTTATTTCAATAGTATAGATCAAGTCAAGTTTTGGTATAACGGTTTGACCATACATTAATTTGGTCAAAATGCTTTCTTCAATATCGGGTGACTACTTCCAGCTTGAAGCTTGAAAAAATATTCCTAACATATATCCTTAAAGCAAAGCAGTTCATATAAAGATAGTCAAGCAGTTTTCTTACAAAACAAACCAACCCATATATCATATACACTGTATATAAAGAATGCATTTCTAGAAGGTTGGAAAATCTATGTTAAGTGAAGGTCTGCAGAATTAGAACTTTGACATTTATGCTAACATTTTAAGGTTTTCTTTGCACATCTAAGCCACAAGCAAAACAAATAGACCAAAATAATCTGGCTGAGCTGCAGAGCATTGCGTAATATCTAAGAGACGAAAATCTGTAGCAGACATTAATGTACTTTCAAACTTTTTCAGTCAGCGGAGATAATCTATATCTACACTGTCATGACATTTCAAAACAATCAGTCTGTAGCAAAAAAAAGCTTTATAAAAAGTGCTGATCAAGCATTTTATTCTTCATAATTATAGATGTTGCCAGTTACTTAAATAAATATTGACCAGATATGGATAGTGGGTACATCATCCACTTCACACTCCATTAGTAGCAAAAATCTGCTGACCTACTGGCCTTAATATGTACAAACAGTACAACAATTTTCCTGATCTACAGAGAACATCACTGCCAATCAGATGACATTATTAATACATTGATGACACACAACAGTAATCATCACCTGTAGTTTTGAAGTTTGGTGTAATTATCTGCTACAGAATTGCTTGGTTCAATTTGTATTTATTTGGTCATAATGTGAAACAAACTATTAATGCATCCATCAAATATCAGACAGGTACCTTTATATATTAGATAAGTAAACACAGACCACATATTTTGTGAGGCTCTGTCTTATAATCAGTAGACCACTAATTACAAAGTTTCAACAAGATAAAGGCACATTATGCCTCAGAAATAAATAAATTTTTATTTCTTTAGAAAGAGTAGCCCCACTAATTGTAATGCAGGTTGAGATATTGTGCTGTTTTAGGTATGGGCAATATCTCCCTTAACCCATAACAAAGATATCTCAGAATCTAGCTTTGGCATGTCAAAATATTTTGTTATAATGTTTTAATAATAGGTTTAGAGCATGTCAGATGCTTGAACCCTAAAGAATGTAGTGATAAATATGAAATAGCCTGTGATGATATAAGAACCAAAATATAAACAAAGTAGTACTTTGACTTCCACACAAAATACTAAATCAATATATCTGTACAAACAGCAAAAAAAAAGAAGAAGCTAAAGATGAAAAAGATGGTTCTGGTAATTGGCCAATGAGCAACTTTTTGGAAAACTAAAGTATTCCAAAACGCCATAAATAAAAAAGCTTTTAGAGATGAAAAAACATTTCTAAGGCATAATGGGCATTTAAGAAGTCAGTCAGCATTGCCTATATTAAAACAGCAACATGACCTTGTAAAAATTACAACAACTTATTCAACATAAAAAAGAATTTTTTTTAGATAATCACATTTACATAAAGAAATCAAAAGTATGATGTCACAAACCAGAAATAAGACAATTTAGTGACAAATGATAGGAGCAATTATTCAAACAAGCAATCTAGACCATTCAGCCAATTAGTTCATCTTTTTACAAAAATCAATCATTCATTTGATGGGCTTTCCTGGAACTCTATACTAATCAATACATGTTGATATTTTTTCTTGGAAAAAAAATGTAAAAATAGCTTTGATGGTCACAGACTTCTATAATGATGATCAGTCAAAAAATATTCCGAACACAGCATTTTTAATGTATTTTGTAAATTAAGTTTCACATCTATTTACATATCTAATAGAACATAATGGAAACACCTATGCTATGTCCAAAAATATACAATTTAGAGATATAGCAAATGTTGTATTTAATAACTGTTTATGTCTTAATTGTTGTCAACTCTTAAAGTGAAAACAACCTCCATGGTCGAGGGGTTAGAGTTGATGACTTCTAATCCAGTTACCTCTCTGGCGTGGGTTCGATCTCCAGGAGATGCTTTGGTAGTTTAGCGCGGAGGAAGGTAATTTAGTACTGGTGTAACTCTCCAGGAACGATGGTTAGGAAACTACCCACCTATATGACTGAAATACTGTTGGGAAAAGGCGTAAAATGAAACAAACAAACAAACAAACATACTTAAAGTGAAATGATATACTACACAGATAATCAATCAGCTGCTGTATTTAGTGGCTAACTTAATTTATCAGAATGTATAAAGCTAATATAGTGTTATATAGACTATCCTAGCCCTATCTATCTGGCATTTTATGTCTCTCTGAGGAAGTCTCAGGTTATAAAACTTCCGTTCATGTCTTCATAAAACTAGGCAATATAAACCAACAACCAGAAACACAGAAATCTTTTGGAAAAAAAGCAAGCAAAAAAAAACAAACACCTTCTTGCATTAATAATCTTTCCATCTCAAACAATCAGAAAAGGAAGTCAACAGAAAACCGTTGTTAAATGTCAAAAAATCAATCCTATTGGAACTTATCAATTAGTGAAGAGAGCTTAAGTTGAGAAAATGAGGGAGTCAATTCAACAGCTGTAATTTCATGACAATCATGTAGACTCAAATGTCAAAGGAAATACAAATTGTTGGGGAATGTGGTGGTTATGGTATAGACTAATCAATAATAACAGACCTTCAAATACAGTAAAAAAGAAAATAAGAAAATCAGCAAAAAAATATGGAATTAGCAGGCGCAATATTGGTTAACCCCAGCTTTGTGATAACAAATTTCCTTACTTGCTTTTTATGATTAAATTTAAGATCTCTGAAAGCGTGAATTTCTTACATGAAATTAAAACAATTTTTGTGAAAATGTTACAAACACATTGTTATAAACACACTGTTAATGGCTGAACTCTGTTGATTAGGTAGATGGAAGGACAATAATGAAAATTGCAATATGACTTATTTATACAAAGTTATTTAAAGATTATTTTATTTTTTAAAAAATAAGTAAAATTTTTAATTGCAAAAAAGCATACAAAATATTTCCAATCAGCTTAATTTTGATAGGTTTCAATACAACACATATTTTTTACTTGAAACAAGACCGTTAGCCTAAGGTGACTATTTGTTACTATAAAAGTTAACAGCAACAGATGGTGTATCTTGATATTGACCCTGTCTTTTATCACATGCCATATCTAAACATATACTATCATGTACAAGGTGTTTATTTCATATATATATATATATATAGCCTTGTTTACATAAACACATTTATAATCATTACACCTGTGAAAATTTTGTAATTGACATTCAGATGTCCTGAATTGGATCTTGTCTCTTTAGAAGGGTGGTGCAAAAATTGATGAGTAAATTTTTTTAGGGGAGGGGTGCAGCAAAGATTGATGAGTAAATTATCTGGAAACTATTTCACTATAAGATTGATACAATAATAGACACAGTGACCCTTCCTGATGAACTGACCAGGACAGTTTCCACTGTCGGAAATATACACTTCACATACACTTTCAAATATGAAGTTTAATTTGTACATGTATATAGCTATGAACAGAAGAAGATGCTTATCAGTTGATTGACTGATTGGTTTGAAGTCACTCCAGCACTTTAAAGGTCAAGGTCACATGGCAACTTTCAAGCTTTATTAGTGGAAGAGAAACTCAGGTACCACTTAATGTCTTATTTCAGGTATAAGCAGGCACCTGATCATTGTTAACCACAGTATATATACTGTCGTACATATATTCTGTATATACTACATAATCTATTACATAATGTAGTACATGTATATACCGAATATATACCATGGGTAACCAACGATGGCTCTTGATTAGAATCACCCATCTTTCATAAGCTAGCTGAATAGCTTCCGCACATGAAAATATCCCTTGGGGTATTTGAGCCTACAAATTGGAAGGGACAATTTTGTCAGGAACCTTAATTACTCACAAACTCAGTCAATGATGCCCCAGGTATCTGTTGAAGATATATTTGGTTGTACATAATACAAAGGAAGGGTATCATAGATTAAGTTGCTTTGAACAGGTTATTGAGGAATAGCATGAGATATTGAAGGCAAAATATTAACCTGCTTTAAATTCTGATGATTTTAGTTAATGCTAATTATGTAATGAATATACATAGTTAAACATCCTTCAAAAAATTTGATTATGTTTGATTTTTTTCTATTGCTTAAAATTTATTTATAAACCCAAAAATGAGTATCGTGACAGAAATTATTTAAGCTTTAAAAACCTCAAAATGAAGAACCAACAGATTTTATTAATGGTGACATTCTGGTGTTAACCTCTCTTCTCTTAAATCTGAATTTACTTCACCATTCCCACTAATAAAATAGTAAGGAATTCATTAAATGCAATAGCTTACATCAATAATTCATTAACTGTATCTACTCTATTACAACACCTTTCTCTAAAACACATAAATATGAAAATAACAATCAATGTTTTGAAGGGATATTTGTGATTTTCAGTTAGTATTTATTCAATCTATGTGTCAGACAATTTATGTGATTTTCAGTTAGCAATTATTTAATCTATGTGTCAGACAATTTATGTGATTTTCAGTTAGCAATTATTTAATCTATGTGTCAGACAATTTATGTGATTTTCAGTTAGCATTTATTCAATCTATGTGTCAGACAATACACATTTAAAGCCCATATTGATCCCCGAGAGGTTCAATATAATATGATACTTCACAAATGACTTAATATCTCATATGAAGCTGATGATAATGATGTAAACCTATACAATACATGCAGTAAAATTATGTTGTAATCTTTATTTTTCATTTGAAAAATATCTTTCTTTTATTAAGGAAGGCAAAGAATGATTTCTTTATACTTGTATCAATGACGGAAGTAAATTTATCCTTAAGTACTTCAACAATCTATAAATTATCATTGGCCAATCAATACAAAATTCTAAATCAAGCTTATTTTATAAAAATCAGAAGAACTTCTTATTAAACATAAATCTTATTTTTTTTTAAAACTTGCATTTTCATGTAAAAAGGGAAATTAAACAAAAATTGAACACAAGTTTGTGTTTCTAGTTAGCTTGATAGTGGCATACACATCGTATACAAATAATTCAAGACATTTAAATGAATTCATGTAGCACTTAATAGTAGCATAACTTTTAATCAGACTCAAGAAGAATAAAGATGAACAGATTTTTATAAATGTCATGCAGATACTATATAAGTAATAAGGTGATTTTAGTACATTACTGAAGAAGGAAGCCCTTAAACATTGAGTGGCTACATGCATTGATTCAAGCACTGGCAGACACCCACATAGCTCAACAAATCTATTGAAAGTTAGCTGAATGACTTCCTAACACAAGACAAATCAATGCCCCTGGTGTTATTTATACCCAAACCAGTAATGGGCAAGAGATCAGCATCCATAAGCACTTAGCCACAGAAGCCTGTTTACTTCTGTAGGGTAATTTTGGTTGATCAGACCTACTGTTATCTCAATGTATTATGAATTTACTAAACAATTAAGTTTATAATATTCATCATTCAATCATGAAATGAGCCGTGTCACGACAAAACCAATACAGTGCGTTTGCGACCAGCATGGATCCAGACCAGCCTGCGCATCTGCGCAGTCTGATCAGGATCCATGCTGTTTGCTATCAGTTAGGGTTGGTAAGCGAACAGCATGGATCCTGATCAGACTGCGCGGATGCGCAGGCTGGTCTGGATCTATGCTGGTCGCAAACCCATTGTTGGTTTTGTCGTGACGCGGCTCAAATGTAATGAATTTATTGTGGTAAAATACAATGTAGTGGGAGGATTACAGTTTATGTATTTTTTTTATAAAGTATGACAGATTTATGTCATCAACCCAAACAAAGACAACAATGAAAGATATAAAAAAAAACTGTAGTATACATTTCAAAAAGAGGTCAGATCAATATTTTTGTAAAAAATATGCAGTTTGATATCTTTATTAGTGTAAGAGTAATGACAAAACTGGGCCAGTCAGTATCAAACTTGTCCTATATAAACTTACTGTAATATTTCTTCCTTGGTTGCAATACAGCCTTCGACCATTTTGTCTACAACATTAACGTGCACCTCTTCTGTGACATTCTCTCTAGAAATTAGAGGCATGTGGAAATGTGGTATATCATCTGCCCCAGTCTTCAACCAAGCATGTTCCTCAATCTGCTGTAAGGTGGCACGATGACCGGGCTCTTTACGCAGCATCAGAGATACAAGTCTGCAAAATTCCACAAAAATCATATAAGTACTAAAACAAACTTTACATACAATGGAACAGACTAAAAGATATTTAAATACTGAGTAAAACCAAATTATTTTTCTAATATTTGCATAGTTTTTTTAATTTATGTCAAGAGTAGCAGCAAAACTTCAAAAGTACAGATAAATTTAAAAGCAATACATCTTTTTAATATGTTTAGATATGGATTGTAGTATAACACTTAAAGACAGCAAAAAGTATGACGTTTTTCTCTATCTACAGATAACAAAATAAGTAAATCATTCAAATTATATTATCAGATTTTAAGATTTTAGAAAGGTTAAATATGGGTCCGTATGAATGGTTGTTACATATTTAACCAAAGCGATAAAGGGAAGGTCATATTGCTAACAGTCAAGACCATAAATAAAACCTGTAAAAAGCCTTACAAGGAATTAACAATATTTCACAATCTTTTTCTTTCTTTACAATGAAAATTAATTCATTATCTGCATAAACTTTGTATATAGCGTTTATCAAACATCATGATTATCCAATAAAAATTGATGTTACAAATGTGCAGTATTATAATTATGATACAGTAACATAATGATAAAACTTGAAGCCTGACTTTCACGACTCAATACTAAGATACCTATGTCAATTGAAAGCCCTGTACTTTAATAATTCTTATATGGCATTCAAGTCTAATACAAATGACACACAAAGGCTTATCAAAATAACATTTCATCACTTACTTTTTAAAAGTAAGTGATGTGCAATTTTTTCTTTTTACTTATTGTATCTTAAGTAAGTTTGGTAAGTTCATCCATTTAATTTAATATTCATAATGAATACATTTGAATATTATCACTTACAGACTGCTTATGGTTTTTACAATTATCTAAGCTTATTCAGACTGCTAACAACAATATCAATTTTCTGATACCATCTGTACAGCCTGAACATTTTGTATAAGCATGCAGTCTGGTCATACTGCCAACAGCTCAATTTCAAAAGATTTTTTAGAACATGATTGTGTATTCCCTTAAATGAACAATGGACAGTTCAAGGTTAAATATTTTATAGGACATGTTCATCACACAAATTTAAGGCTTCAACAAGCCTATAGAATCATTCAGGGTGTTCACTAGCTAATAAATCCTGAGGGTCATTTTGACTAAGTTTTACCGACTACAAGGCAAAATCCCCATGATTTTAACAAAATTTGACCCTCCAGTTAAAATCCTGAGGGTCAAATCAAGCTTGGGTCAAAGGGTCATTTCAAGGGTCAAATGGACACCCTGATCTTTGTTATGTTTAATTCTGGTTCAAAGTAATAGATTAGGAAGAACGTCACCTTGTGTAAATATAAATATATTCTTACTCTCTACAAGACTGTGAGACATGAGGTGGGAACTGGTATTTACAATCCATAATCATAGTTAGCGTCTCACTGTCATTCACTTCCTGGAAAGGTGGTTTACCACACACCAACATGAACAAGATTACACCTAGACTCCATATATCTGAAATATAAAGTACTGTCAATGTATGTACATGTGTGACATAGCATTTTCCTTGTTAAATGTATGTAAAAACTAAGATAAGAATATGGTATACATTATCATTATTAAAGTCAGCTATGTTATAGTCTCTGCTACAACATTCACTCCTATCTAACAGTCTTAACTACTTAGGTAAGTTTACATCCTTATCATTTTATATGCCTACTTCTTATTTTTAAGTCCAGTGACTTGCACAATTTAAGTTTGTTTGTTTGTTTGAACCTGTGTATGGCATATTATTTTCTGTCAAGAGAAGTTAGGTCCAAGTTTGACAAAATATGCTATTATACTACTTGATAAATGTACATGTAGAAATCAAATGTTAACTAGATGCTTCTAACATCAATGTCACCCTGTAATTTACTGATTGATCCAGCAATTTCATTCATGGAAAAGCTTATTAGCTTTATTAATATAGAATTTTGAATGAAAATTAACAATTTAGAAGTGTCTTCAGATTAATTACATAAAGAAGGTCAATATAATTACCAGCCTACATGTCACATTTTGTGTCATTTCTTTTGTTGTTTTAGCAAAACTGCGCTTAGCAGGAGCAAAATTATATAGTTTACATGTATTACTAAGTACACCGTCAAGGCACTACTTTTAAGGACAAATTCTCTTCCAATTCATTTTTATATTTATAAATCTTAATAATCTTGAGCTTTTCCTAAATAAAAAAAACTATGACCTGAGCCTCTTAAAGCTACTCCAGTGCTTATTTACCGGACTGTTCTTTAACAAAAATGTTTTTTGCAATTATAAAACATTTGTTAAAAAACAAGAACAATGAAAATAATCTATATATCTTAATGGCATGGCCTTGGCCTCATAAATCTTCACGCCAATGCTTATTTACCTGACCGAAAGGCATTCTCTAACTAAAATGTATATTTTTAAATCATTAGTTAAACTACCTGAACAATGAAAATAATCTATATCTTAATTACATTCTCACCTTAAACTACATTCTTGCTGACTCATACAAATAGATCAATACTAATCTGGAATTATGAAATCAATGTAACATCTGCTGATCAACATTGCTATGCATATGCAAGTACTCATTCTTTAGTTTCTACATTCCTTTGCAGCTTGTTTGTATAATATGGTATTATATGCTTATAGCGTGCATTGTTTGCATTTAGAATTCAGCATATCTGACAACAGTGTTTTATTCAGTTTATAGTGACTTTGTCTGTTTGTCACTTATGAACTGATAATATTACATTAAACAAGAGGGCCATGATGGCCCTGAGGTCGCTCACCTGTATATAGCCCCCCCCCAGGCCCAATTTTTACCCAAGGGCTTTTATTTGTTTATTTGAACAGACTTGGTAGACACCCATAAGAAGATGTTTCATGCAAAACATCTAAGTTCTAGCTCATTGGGTTTTTTAAAAGAAGATTTTTTAAGTTTTTACTATACACATAGAGTAAAAAACAATGACACCCCTCGGGCAGGGCCAGTTTTGACCCCTGGGCTTTTATTTGAACAAACTTTGTAGATATTTACTTAAAGATGTTGCATGCTTAATATCTAAACTCTAGTTATTTGGGTTTTTTCAAAGAAGATTTTTAAGTTTTTGCTATGTATATAAGGAAAATCAATGACCCCCGGGGCGGGGCCAGTTTTGACCCAGGGCTTTTATTTGAACATACTTGGTAGACACCCATTAGAACATGTCTCATGCTAAATATCTTAGCTCTAGCTCTTTGGGTTCTTTAAAAGAAGATTTTATAAGTTTTTACTATATGCATATAAGGAAAATCAATGACCCCTGGGGAGGGGCCAATTTGACCCCAGGGGTTTTATTTGAACAAACTTGGTAGACATTCACTAGAAGATGTTTCATGCCAAATATATAAGCTTTAGCTCTTACAGTTCTTTAAAAGAAGATTTTTTAAGTTTTTACTATATGCATATAGGGAAAATCAATGACCCCCTGGGGCGGGGCCAATTTGACCCCAGGGCTTTTATTTGAACAAACTTGGTAGACATTTACTAGAAGATGTTTTATGCCAAATATCTAAGCTCTAGCTCTTACGGTTCTTTAAAAGAAGATTTTTTAAGTTTAAACTATATGCATATAGGGAAAATCAATTACCCCCCAGGGCGGGGCCAATTTTGACCCCAGGGCTTTTATTTGAACAAACTTGGTAGACATTCACTAGAAGATGTTTCATGCCAAATATCTAAGCTCTAGCTCTTTGGGTTCTTTAAAAGAAGATTTTTTAAGTTTTTACTTTATGCATATAGGGAAAATCAATGACCCCCTGGGGCGGGGCCAATTTTGACCCCAGGGCTTTTATTTGAACACACTTGGTAGACATTCACTAGAAGATGTTTCATGCCAAATATCTAAGCTCTAGCTCTTACAGTTCTTTAAAGGAAGATTTTTTAAGTGTTTACTATATGCATATAGGGAAAATCAATGACCCCCGGGGCGGGGCCAATTTTGACCCCAGGGCTTTTATTTGAACAAACTTGGTAGACACTCACTAGAAGATGTTCCATGCCAAAAATCTTAGCTCTAGCTCTTACAGTTCTTTAAAAGAAGATCTTTTAAGTTTTTACTATATGCATATAGGGAAAATCAATGACCCCCCGGGGCGGGGCCAATTTTGACCCCAGGGCTTTTATTTGAACAAACTTGGTAGACACTCATTAGAAGATGTTTCATGCCAAATATCTAAGCTCTAGCTCTTAGGGTTGTTTAAAAGAAGATATTTAAAGATTTTTCTTTCGGTTGCCATGGCAACCAGAGTTCTGCATGGAATTAAATTCTTTGAACAATTTTTAAAGGTGACCACCAAAGGAACATTCCTGTGAAGTTTGGATGAAATTGGCTCAGTGGTTTATGAGGAGATGTCATTTAAAGCAAAAGTTTACGGACGGACGACGGACGGACGACGGACGGACGGACGGACGGACGCCGGACGAAAAGCGATCACAAAAGCTCACCCTGTCACTTTGTGACAGGTGAGCTAAAAATACAAAATGTATTATATAAAGTATACATGACGTACAAGTCAGTGATATTAATCACAATTCTTGATACTAGCTATGCCAAGTGTAAAGAACATATAGAGATATTAATTAAAGTCACAGTGTAGAGATTGAAAGATGGCTGTATGTACCTTAAGCCACCTTCACACTATTACTTTGATGTAATAATGTAAATTTCTTTAAAAAAAAACCAAACAACTTGACATTAATAAATATATCAACAATTTGTTATTGAAATGAACATCACTTCCTCTAAAAGTTATCTTCACTATAAGAACTGTACGTAAATTTTTCTTATCAGTTTTTTCAGATGTGCCTTGCAGATACAGTCAGTTTCCAGTTTTGGTAATATGGAGGTCAGACTGAGTTGTTAGTCTTGAGAAGTTGAATCAATTTAATGTTTTAAATATACATGTACTCTGTACATACAATGCACGGCAAGTAAATCAAAAATTATATTTTATGCATGTCTAAAAACCATCTTTTGAAAGAAGAAAAAAAATTATTTACACAAAATGTTATATTGTTTATTTTCAATTTTAGCACTTAGTAAGAAATGTTATTATATTGTAACATGTGTGAAAACTTGAGAACCTATTAAAGAGATGCTCTTAATTATCATTTCAATATTTACACAGATTATTAATATAAGACTAATGTGTTACTGCCGAAAAACACACATGGGCAAATCTATATCCTCCTCTAAGGTTGTTGGGGCCTAAATTAACAAGAGCTGTCAGAAGGACAGCGCGCTCGACTTTTTTAGTGCTTGCCTATAAAACAAAACTTTGACAGTTAAGGGCACACAAGACTTTAACTAGGAATTTCTAAGTACAAATCAAGAAACATTTTCACAGAGTTATCTTCTCTTGCTTACAGATAGGTCTCATGATGGCACATAAGAACTCCAACTTCCAAAGTAATATCTCAAATGGTTAAGTCAACAAGTGGACAAGAATGAAAATCTTAACTGAGTTTCTAAGTCAAAAAGGGCCATAATTCAAATAAAATCCTTAACAGAATTACCTTCTCCTGCCCATGTTTTGGGACCATGATGGTAAACAAGTATTCCAACTTTCAAATTAATATCTCAAACAGTTCAGTCAAAAAGTGGACTGGTACTAAAAACTTAACCAAGATTCTAAGTCGATAAAAGGCCTTAATTTTTAAAACAAATCCTTGACAGAGTTACCTTCTCTTGCGTACAGATGGGGGTAATGATGTGAAATAGCATTAAAAGTTTCAAAGCAATATCTCAAAGGGTTAAGGCAATAAGTGGATTTTACCCATATTCAATGTATTTTCTAAGTCAAAAAGGGGCATAATTCTGTCAAAAACCTTGACAGAGTTATGTCCTCTTGTCTGTTGATGAAGGTCGTGATGGTAAACAAGTATGGTCAGTTTCAAAGCAATACCTCCAATGGTTTTGAAATAAAGTGAGGTGGTACAAAAAACTTAACCAAGCTCAATACACTTTCTAAGTCAAAAAAGGGCCATAATTCTGTCAAAAACCTTGACAGAGTTATGTACTCTTGTCTGTAGATGGAGGTTATGATGGTGAACAAGTATGGTAAGTTTCAAAGCCATACTTGTAATACTTCTGAAATAAAGTGGGGTGGTACGAAAAACTTAACCAAGGTGTGACGCCAACGCTAACGCCGACGCCGGGGCGAGTAGGATAGCTCCCCTTTTCATAGAAAAGTCGAGCTAAAAATAGCTTTGTTTGCTGTCTCCCGACCGACCCTAAAAAAACGCTGCGCTCCGAAAAATTTTATTTGCTCTCGCCGACCATTTTTTTTTTTTTTTTTTGGTGCCGCATATTTTTACCGATATCCGTTCAATAACGGCGTGTAGTATTCTGGTTCCCGCGTATTATTCGTCACGTGTATCGACTATCAAGTACCGCCGGGTAAAAGTTGATTGTGTACACATCCGTTACAATTTTGCAAAACGAAAGTAAGAAGATCTTCAAGAAGACAAGTATTTTATCATCTCGTCAACATTTATTATTACGTTTATTCAACTTTGTTGAAAAATAACCTCCACGAGAATGAATTTGTCTGGGCATGGGCCGATCTGTTGAATGACGTCGAGGATTTTTACCCGAAAAAAATCGGACGTTCTTACGGTATGCTTAAATACTGGTTTGGGTTAAAAACTTACTGAGTGCTCATGTAATCGATTTAAAATAAAGTTTTTGAAAATAAATAAAGTTTTTTGTATGTACTCATTCATTTATAAGTACCAGTATTTATTTAATAATCATTTTCTTCAACCAGCAAATGCACTAATCTTATTGTTTTCAGTACCACCTATCTTAGTATTTGAACCATTTCAGCACTCGTTTATCACATTTTCTCATTATTGCAGGGCTTTAAGAATAGTCTTCTAGTGGCTCAAAATGCAAGGCACTGAATGCGGATAAACTAAGGTGTATTTACTCCAAGAATAAATTGACAGTGAAACATGATCTCTAAAACACAACCTTGAGAAATTTGATTACAACTGTGTTTCAGTCATTACAGTTGATGGTTAGTATTGGTATTGCACATTGTTGTGCTTATTTTCTTGAAATAGTGATGTCAAAATGTTTTTAATAATCAACTGAAAGTAGAAACCTGATTTTATTCTTTCTTACATATTTCCCATGGTGTTTGTATAATTAAAAATGTTAAAATAATTGCATTTTTGGCAAAATCTGTATTGCTTTAAGTCTAGCCTTCTGTCTGTTTTCATAGGAGATGCTCTGCAAGGGAGAGTGTTTGTATGACTGCAGATGTCATGCCAATCTAACATGGAGTTCCCTTACTGTGCCTCCAACATTGGACGACCAGATATTTGTGCCCATTGTGATGAGCCAGAAGCACAGAGAAATCCAGAACTGTTAACAAAGTTTAGGATTGTACTTCCAGTTTATGAGCAATGCATCAATGTCCACAAGAAAAACATTCCCCATAGATGTCCTATGAAAAATGAATACTGTGAACCTAAATTTTGTTGGTATACTGTGGCTTAACTGTTTACTTGTCTGAAGTTGCTTAGTGTTTGAAGTTGTTTTTCTGGATGTGTTACTAACTATTCATTTCAGTGAAAATAAAATGTAAGCAGACTTCAAACTGTTGATGTATAATGATGCCTTTTGTTGTTCAGTAGTTATTTTGCATAATATATTTGAGTATATTTGTGTGTTTTAGTCATCCTCTCACATGTTGGGTGAATGTTCGAAATTTTGCTTTTGTTACATGTATTGTTATTAAAAAGAACTATACTTCTTGTATTGACTAATTGAAAGATATACAAACTGAAATAAAAAGTAGGATATATCAATTTTAAAAAATTTTATTCGCATTTTTATTAAACCGTTTTTTCCAACAAACAGAATCAAACCAAAAACATGTATGTATTTCTAAAAAAAAAAAAAAAAAATCCCTACCTACCTACCCAACTCTAAAAAGTAGGGTCGGGAGACAGCAAACAAAGACTTTTTTAAATGTGGCCTGGGATATAACATGAGGTAAAATGCATGCTCACCATTTTATTTTGGGCACTTAATCAAAATCATCAATCAGGAATATTAGGGATGTTAAATTATTTAAAGAGCATTATCACACAAAATTGCATGATTTGAGTTCAGATGCACAACAATATGATAGTCCTGATGGCCATATATGTACAGTGTACTCAAGGGTCAGTGATTTAATTAAATTAAATTACTATCTAATGATAGACCATGCCATGTTATTGATTAGATGATTTATAATTATAAAAAATTAGTTAATTTTCCATTATAAGATGCTCATAGGAAAATAATGAATGGATGAAAAAGTGTGTTGTACTAAATATATACTCAAATAAATTAATAATTAAATTATTACTTACTTGATGTATTAGAATTTGGTAAAGTTTAAACATATTTATTTAAGCTCAGTTAAGAATAAAGCTTATTTGAATCCCTCATTAAGTTCACTACCTGGAACTTACCACTTCCAGTTCTGGTGTCATATAAAGAAACAGAGTCATGACCAAAGTAGGGCTCGAATCCACATTTCCGGGGTTGAGAGACAACCACTTTGCTTCATTGATTTCATATGTTATGTGACAATGCCATGTGACATCATCATGACATGAACTTATAAATAAATATAAATGTATACATTTGCCTTTTGAAGTTTTCATTTTATTCTTGTCAGTTAATGTAATATTTCAAGGTAATGAGCAATGGTCCTTCGTGTCTCCTTATATTTGAGTTAATTACATTGAAAGCAAGCTACCTTCTTAATAATCAAATAACAAATACTTATCATATATAGATTGAACTGAAAATTTTGACTACATCAAACATTCTTTGTTTAAATATTTACTTAACTGGGTTAAAGTGGCCTACCTAAAATTAAATGGTTAAAGTACATGTAATAGAATTGAAGGCCAAACATTGACAAACAAACCAGTTTGCTTTATGAAATATTATTTTTCAAAAATGTGGAAGTAAAACCAAATTAACGCTATGTAACAATAATAGGAAGTAGCTGTCTTATTTTATCTTTTCAGTATAAAACAGTATTTTAATCATTTCAATTTTCCCCAGTCATTGTGTTACATGAGACGGAAGTTGTGGTCATATTATCACTTGATATAAATGGCCTGTGTAACTAAATATATCACCGATCATCGATGATATTTTTTTGTAATTTGTAATGATTTAAATTTAATTTTGTTTTTATTTTAGGATAAGGCATACAAACTCAAAATATAGCTTTTGATAGCTAAAGGTTAGTCTAGAATCAATATATTTATTGATTTTTTTTGTGATGTGACACAGTGCCATTAACATTTTGTAAATACTGGGCTGGCAAAAAGTACGACTGATAATGACTTAAGAAATATAAAACAGTTTTCTTGACATACCACTGCATATATATGCAAATTTCAAAGAGTTTAATGACCTGATTAGTATCTAAATAAATCCAAGAAAACCCAATATTGTCTAATACTAGGTAATAGAAATAATCTCTAGATCAATTTAAAAATAGGCACATACATGTAATCTGCCTTAAGATTAACTTACTGTATTTACATGGATATGACAGATTATCATCTTTGTATACAAAATGATATCATGACCCCCGAGTATTAAAGGATTTAAATAAGTACTTAAAGTACCTTCACTGATGGATTTGTGAGAAACAATACTATTAAAATCTATTTCTTTCTTAAAATGTTTTAACAAGTGTACATAGTACTGTGAATAACACTACCGATATAAAACTGGATTATTGAAAGAACATGAGCAAGCCTATCTCATAATCTGAGATACTTTAATTCATTAATTGCAACCTTAAATTTTTTTGCAAGCATGCAACTTTTTTTCCATTTGAAAACAATTATAATTGTTAAAACTATAAAAGAAGAAAATTGGTACAAAGAAAGAGTAATACTAAGTGTTGAAGTAACTGGTAAAAGATGCCAATAGTAATTTAAGCTTTCATAGGCTATCTGTCTGCTCATTGTGTAAATTTATTTGTTCATCATGGAAAATTTAATGTTAATATATTGCATTAATATATTCAAACCAAGACTGAAGAACGCTGATTTTCTTTCCTTTCCTCCAAAAAAATACAATGAAAGGTTTATAAACTTTATTAGAACAAAAGGTGACCAAGAAGTGATAAGGTCTTGATATTTTCATGTTCAATTGAGAATAAACATTCTAACATGTGACAGCACATTAACTTTCAATGATTCCCATTTTGTTACAAAATATTGCAAATAACGTATAGTACAACTCTATATACATGTATAAATAAGTATGCCGATTAAATAATGGTCTTGTTTAAATCTTATTTAAGATAATTTACCTTCCTTTTTCTAAATAATCAGAAAAACAATCCTTTTAAGATTCAAACTTACATTGGACAGCGTTAGCAGATTACAATATCTTAACCCTAATCTTGCTTAAAGGGACTCCACTGAAGCTTTTTGACAGGACAGGACTTGAATGTTTTCAAGATTTTTATATATCATTTGCTGGAAGTCTACAATACGGAATACCATTAAATGCTGTTCAAAATTAATTTTGGATCATTTGCTCTAGACTCCATCACTCGAGTAACTCAGGGCTCGAGCTAGTGGGCGAAGATGAAGTCGCCCGATTTTATTGATCCATTATTGAAAATTACCAACAATAACAATAACTGTGAATAACATGTGTCACAGTGTGTGTTTGCTTTGTTTACCCTTGCCGCCGGAAAAAGGGACAGTCATGCATCTCAATCAACGCGAAATGTCATTAATCTGTTTGTTTACCAACATGTCATAAAAGTCTAATTAACAGACACTCAAGGAACAATTAGACTCCGCCCACGGCGAGATTTCCAATACGTGCGAGAAACCAATCGTAATTCACGTTTTAATCGAGGTGACATTATTAAAACAATCATTAAATCGCTAACATACAACTACCCATAACAATTATTTATGATGGACGGATCAAACGTCAATTAAATTTTCACTATCAATGATTGTCAGAATTAAGAGGACCGCTCGACATATAACTGTAACGGTAATTTTAAATGAAAGTTATGTTAACCTTTTTTGTCAACGAGTTAAATTTGATAAAATTGACGGCGTATTACACTGTATTTATTACAAATGAAGTTAAATTAAAGATAGTTTCTTTCGTTATCTACTTTCATATTCTTTACAACATAAGTAAATATGAATACAATGTCCGGCGCAAGCTTTTTAATAGTAAATCAGAAGGGAATAACTGTTAATCCACCCATGATATGATCCATGATAGGAATCAACTATGGCTTTTTTATCTTCATTTAATGCAATGGTTGCATTACATGATACTCATTCTTATTACTTGTTTCAAACTACTTTTAAATTAAAATTGAATATTCTGTTGTAACACAAATCCAATTCATTTTATAAGATATGTACATTGAGTCAACATAATTGCGATAACATACAACAAACATCGATAAATGAATCTCCTCACTTCTCCCTAAAGTCTCCCCACTTCTCCCTAAAGCAGCTGGAGGGAGCAGTGACTTCTCCCTAAATTTTGAACCTAGCTTGAGCCCTGTAATTATAATCAATCTTATTTTGCAAATGTCCTAATAAAGGTGTTTCAAGGCTTGGTCTTAGAATCAAACTAAATATTAATTTTCAATTAATCTTCAAATGCTTATCTTTTATCATATATTTCAGTTTTGAGTGCCTCTGTTGATCAGATCAATGTAACTTTGTATGGTCTTACAGATTTTATGTTTTTCCTCAGTGAAACTCCTTTAATATCTTATATAAACTTGACCATCTTTCAGTCATAACAAAACCATTCATAATTCTTCTGTACTGACTGAAAAATGAACATTGCAGACTGTGTCACACTCACAATGACCAGAAAGAACTTTTTATGTTGATCTGGGTCTGCACTGGTCACATGGGTAGAACTATTTGCTGCCAACATGTTAAGGATGAATTAATTCCTTCTATGGCTTATAAATTTTATTTAGTTTATACAAATTTATTTAAGATCGATTGTGAAGGAAGTTTTTCCAAGTTCCAACTTAAATTAATCACTCTTACACCTCATTCCTGATAGAATCCATCATCACGAAGGTATGTGACACAAAGACACATGAAGGCCAGTGTTTCCCTTTCAGTGCTGATCAGCACCAAGCAAGGGAACTACTTTAAGTGGTTTATTTTATTTAGACTGTTACATTGGCGTTGATTGCAACTATACCATTATCTTCACATGCTTTTGTAAAGTCTGTACAGAAACCAGCAACGTTAATAAGCAGCTATTTGAATGCATTTAAGTATTATTGGCAACACCATTAGTTACTAGTAACTAATTTGTAAGAATTGTTACACAATATTTTCTAATCAACAATGATGAATAAATGATTAAGTCTTTTCCAAATTAAGACAATGTTAAATACCCACCAACTGCTTGAGCATCATATGAATCACCAAGAAGAATTTCTGGAGCTGAATAAGCAAGAGATCCACATGAAGTTTCCAATTTGTTTCCAGGATTAAACATATTACTAAAACCAAAATCAGTCAGTTTTACCAGCTCTAATTTCTTAAAGAAGACAACATTTTCCGGTTTCAGATCACGGTGAACAACATGAAGTCTATGACAGTAGGATATTGCTTCAACAATTTGTCTAAAGTAAAGTCTAGCTTTATTTTCTTCAATTCCCTTTTCATGTTTCATGATATAATCATACATGTCACCACCATCCCCAAGTTCCAGAATCAAATACAATTTTGTCTGTGTATCAATTACTTCATATAACCGAACAACGTTCGGATGTTGCACTAATTTCATACAACGAACTTCTTGAAATAAATGAGCTTTTGAAATATCATCTAACTTAGTCTTATCAATCACTTTAACAGCTACTTTTTCACCCGTAAATACATGTCTTGCTAGTTTCACGACTGCAAAATGGCCTTCACCAATTGTTTCTTCAAGATCGTATAATCCTGCTATTTTCCCATCAAAATCACTTCTTAGCTTCCTGTGAGGCATGATGGAAGCCCTCTGTCGAGTGTTGCTATTCGCTTTATCCCCCATTTTCTGGATTATCCTAGTATTAATTCATTTATGTGTTCCAAATACAATTTGACACTTCCATTACAAACTTTCAATGTACACAAATCCACTGGCGCACCATTCTTGCGCATGACGTTGTCCCACGTGATGCAAGTTGAATGGACATGTTTTCAGGGGAGGTAATTCAAAATACGTGCAATCTCCTGCGCTCTGCGAAGGGAGGTAATCACTGTGAGGAGTTCGAAATACGTGTAGAGTACTGTTTTTGTTGTCTTTCGTGACTCAATTTCTACAAAACTTTAGTCAGTATCTATCTATCTATCTCTGGATACTGCCAACCCCTCTTACGAGTGTTAAAGGCGGAAATGCCATATGTCCGAGAAATGTTAAACATTGACATGACTGAAAATGTATTGTAGTCATGGTTAAAATGTTAATAGTGAAACAAGATGATAAGAAACAAAATAGTTTAAAAACACTGGGAGTAAGACTAGTACTGCAAATCCACCACTGCCTGTTTGAACTGACTGAAGTTGGGCAGGGTGGCAATGTTACTAGGAAGATTATTCCATAGTATAATGCTATGAGGGAAGAAAGAGTACTTATGGTAGTCGGAGGATACCTGTATTTGGCGTAGGGATAAGGGGTGCATATGTCTGGTTAATCTATGTGGGGTTTGAACATAAGTTGGGAGATTAATTGCAACCTGTTTATGATATATCTTATAAAACATTATCAGTCTACAGTCAAATCTGCGATGTTCAAGGGATCGCCAGCCCAGTTCTTCCTGCATGGCTGTGGCACTAGAGTGAGGGGAGTAATCCCTTTTAACCCATCTTATTGCACGCCTCTGGTTCATCTCAACTTTGTCAATATTGGTTTTAGTGTAAGGAGACCAAATAGTTGAGGCATATTCAACATGTGGCCGGACCAGGGACTTGTATGCTAGTTCTTTCACATTCTCATTTTTAGTAATAACATTTCTTTTAATAAAGCCAAGGGATCTGTTTGCATTGGAAGTTATTCGAGATATATGTGTATTAAATTTAAGGTCAGCAGATAGATCTAGTCCGAGATATTTAGCATTTGTAACAGACTCTATGACTTGGCCATGGAGCATATATTTGTGTTTAATTATGGTTTTATTTTTGGTGATATGGATGACTTGACATTTTGAAGGGTAAAAACTCCATGTCCCACTGCTTCTCCCACAGAACCATATTGTCTTGATCATGTTGGAGAGTTGGGGGGTCTGAGGAGGAATTGATGGTTAGGTATACAGCAGTGTCGTCTGCAAATAATCTGACTTGGGATTTAAATACAGAAGATGGTAGCTTGTTGATATATAGAAGGAAACAAAGGGGCCCTAGGACAGAGCCTTGGGGCACTCCAGAGGTAACTGGAACTTCAGATGAGCAGTCACTATCCACAACTACTGTCTGTCTACGGCCAATAAGGAAGGACTGTATCCAGTTTAAAAGTTGAGGACAAACACCATGTTCTTGAAAGGTATCTAAGAGTTTAAGCTGGTTTACTTTATCGAAAGCTTTAGAGAAGTCAAGTAGTATGAGATCTGTTTGTTTGCCATTTGAAAGGCTGTTCACAAGGTAATCAGTAAGTTCAATGAGTTATGTCTCACATGATCGTCTTACTCTGAATCCATGCTGAAGATCAAAGAGTATGTTGTGGGTGGTAAAGTGATAGGATAGTTGAGAGGCAACTATGTGTTCAAGTGTTTTACAGAGGATGCATGTAAGGGAAATTGGGCGATAGTTTGCTGGATCACTTGTATCACCTTTTTTGTAGACAGGGCATACGTTTGCACGGGTGCAGTCATTGGGAATATTACCGGTGGTCAGGGATATTTTGAAAAGAACTGCAACGATGTCAACAATCTCTTCTCTCAACTCCTTCAGGACAATTGGTCTAATGTTGTCAGGGCCGGCAGCTTTGTTGGCATTGAGGTTGGCGAGGAGCTTTAGTACACCTGTCCTACTGATGATGATGTCATTCATTTGTGGGCACTGACAATACTTTCTGGGATCCATGAGTCTCAGTTTTTGTATGCATTGATCTTTAAGTGTAAGTGGTATAATTGGTGAGAAACTGATTGAAATTGATTGTTAAGAATGTTTGCTTTTTCAGTGTTATTAATTTTGAGAGAGCCAGTGACCGTGACACGAGACGAGGCGCACCGCGCTTTAATGAAATAATAATATTTAAATATTGATGTTTCTTTGCTTTTGTGTGTGTAATTATCTGTCTGAATGTATCTGTAACTTTCAATTTATAAAAAGAGTGGGCAGTCTTTATATATTTAGGTAGATTTAATTTTTACCCTACACATTTTCAAATATCAAGGGTTGGTCATTCATCATTACAACGACAAGTTTTAACTTTATTGAAATATTAAGTTAATTAAATTCAATTTGACAATGAAAAAGTGAGCATAATGTCATTATAAACATATACATATATAAAAGCAGGTTATTTATTTAGCTTTTTTATGATATTATTAATAACCGCGTCGAGTTAGACATTATATGCAGGTGATAATTGATCAATTATTGGGATATCACATGCGAGTGTAGGACAAAAGCCCCCCGGACGAAAGCCCCCCCCCCCACCTAAAAATGACGCCTGCAGGACAGGGCGGACCGTGAGACAGGGCGGACCGTACCAGGGCGGACCGTGACTCGAGACTAGGCGGACCATATTTTGGGACAGGGCGGACCGTCACTCGAGACTAGGCGGACCTTGATTTAAAAAAGTATTTATATGTGTACTAATGTAATAATATGACTCGCCATTAAAACTGGATCGGGTTCCTCCCTGGGAAAAAAAAAGAAATCTGCATGTTAAATGTTGACTTCTTTAACATGGACGAGTAATAATTTCTGCTCCATTTGTTGTCCGTGGGCAATTGGCAAAAAATCATATTTCCAGTTTACCACACCCCTGGCTTTTTCATTAATGGACTGAGAAACGTGCAATTAAAAGAACTACGCACGTTTATTATGGATATGCAACAAGAAAATACAACAAGGATCAACAATGCTAAGTAACATTCAGAGAATGCAGTCCCCACACTGGACTACCGCAAAGGCACTCAGTAGGGTACCCAACAAAAAGCAAGAGAGGGCACAAAAGCCGGAACATAGAGTAGTCGTGCAAATAAATGATAAGATTTGAACAGTACAGAAACCACTAAAATTTTAAAGCCGTATAAAACATTTTAAAAGCAAGTAAAATAACACAATGGTATAAAATTGTCAAGGAAAAATCTGTGACTAATAAATATGATCTTCGTTGAATCCTTTAAATAGCAGTTTTATATTTGACTAAAAAAGTAAGAATAAGTTTGCAACCGGAAATGCTTGAAGTACAAGTTTGCAACCAAAAATGTGCTTGAGCAATATACTTTTTAGTATAAAACCTTTGTTAGGAAGCTGAAACCCAAAACCGAGAATGTCAAAAACATTGTCTTAAGGAATAGACATATTAATAATTTTCAAAATAGCATACAAACCCACTTTCCTGTAGAAAATATGTGCCGGTGTTGTAAATATCCATTACTCGATAACCATTTTGTCAAATTTGCAACTATTTTTTCGCTTGAGCCAAGTGTGCAACCACTTCACGTCCTGCCCCTTGAAATTATACCAATAATTAAAGTACACAATACAGACATAAATTGTTTTTTAAAAGAAGGATTGGGTCCGAAAGTTGAACTTATAAAGGCCTTTTTACAGATTTACATTGAATAAAATACTGTATGACAGCATAATTTTTTATGTGACTTGCTTGAAATATAACTGGTCTTACATCCTTATTTTTAAGTAATTAAAATCAAAATTGTTTCTAATCTGGAGCAAAAATATAAACAAAGTAAAGAAGAATCGATAATACAAGAACCTATCATTCTGTTAAATAGAATTAAAGGGAAATAAATTAAATAAAGAGAGAAAGAGATATAATTAATGAGGGAGAAACTTTCAGAAATATAGAAAAGAAGAAATAACTTAAATGTGAATAAGTCAGATGTATAGGAAGCAAATTTTCGTAATTCAGTTCATGTGACAATGCCACGAAAGGTTGAGGTCAAGATGTTTGTGACTGCTGACGACCGATTACCCCAAGCAGCTTTCAGCTTAAAGAGAAGATCTTCGTGTTCAACTTTATCAAAAAGCTTTACTTATATCAAAGAGTACAGCTGTAATTTCTAGTCCGTCAAATAAAGCGATACAGAATGTGTTGTACAAGACTGTTTACTGGTTTATACGGAAGCGTCCAGGTGCCAATTCATAATGTTCTATAAAAAAACTCCTACGTAGGAGATAAAAAAGCCTAATTAGGAGTTTGTAACTCCTACGTAGGACTTTTAAACTCCTACGTAGGACTTTATAACTCCTACGTAGGACTTACAAAGTCCTACGTAGGACTTTATAACTCCTACGTAGGACTTTATAACTCCTACGTAGCAGATAAAAAAGCCTAATTAGGAGTTTATAAGTCCTACGTAGGACTTTTAAACTCCTACGTTGGACTTTTTAACTCCTACGTAGGACTTTATAACTCCTACGTAGGAGATATAAAAGCCTAATTAGGAGTTTATAACTCCTACGTAGGACTTTTAAACTCCTACGTAGGACTTTATAAGTCCTACGTAGGACTTTATAATTCCTACGTAGGACTTTAAAACTCCTACGTAGGAGATAAAAAAGCCTAATTAGGAGTTTATAACTCCTACGTAGGACTTTTTAACTCCTACGTAGGACTTTATAACTCCCACGTAGGACTTTATGACTTTATAAGAAATGCATACAGAATGCTTTGCAAAACTCAACATTCCGGACCGGTATATCGGCGAAGGAACAAGACACTAACCCCCCCCCCCCGTCAAATCTTAAATATAGAGGACATTTCACCTTTGGTTCATACAGAATTTATTTAAGTTTGATTGTGTAGGAAGCTATAAGCTTATAGACACACTTTCGAATCCGTTCCTGGAACCAACCAGTACGTACTTAGCAATGAGTGTAAAGTTTCTTGCTCAAGGAAACAACGGCTTGCGCCTAACGGGGTTTGAACCCATGCGGCTAGCGATCATTAGGCTACTAGTCA